CATAGACACCACGACCACAGCAAACATACTAACACAAAGAATGGGTCCATATTACTACTATAATCCCTATTAGTCTAATTTCATTGAACAAGTCAGGATGATGATCATCGAGAATGAATGGGAGGGAGTTCATCCCCTCCTGGTTTTGGACGAGTTAAGAAGGAGGAATATTAGGGCAAAGAGGGCTTGACAGAAGACATTTATACCGAGAATGCAAACGTAAGCCGTGAAACGATGTAGGAGACCGGTTTCACCACAGGTTGCTTCAGTGACAACGTAGAATGCTTTATGTGCTTCTCCACAAGGAATCAGCCTCTTTGTAAATTCGTCTAGGTATGCTGTGGCTTGAACAACCAACCAGGGTTTTATTTCCAACACAAGTTTGTCAGACATTCCTTCGAACTTCCTCTCCAATTTCTTCGTATCTACTATCAACTGGAAATTAACAAATGAAATGAAGAATCGATTCAGGCAAACAATTCAATAGTTGTTGAATGTACTCACTGAGCGAAATTCACTAACTGCATGCAATACCTTCTCAACGTCTGGCCAAGTTTCTCTCAATTCCATTTTAATTTTTAAAATTTCTTCATCCATCGTTATCGCCATAGCATTAATATACTGAATTGCAGAGTTAAGATTATTTACTTCTCGTCCGCGGATATGGTTTAAAAGTTGTTGCGACTCGGAAGGCGTGATTGAAAAAGTACTGTTGTGCGACACTGCATGCAATACCTTCTCAACGTCTGGCCAAGTTTCTCTCAATTCCATTTTAATTTTTGAAATTTCTTCATCCATGATTATCGCCATAGCATTAATATACTGAATTGTAGAGTTAAGATTATTTAATTCTTCTCCTTGGAAATGGTGTAAAAGTTGTTGCGACTCGGAAGGCGTGATTGAAAAGGTACTGTTGTGCGACTAAATGTATGGAATGACTGTGTGAATATTAACAAATAATGGAAATATTAAGAAGTTTCTGTGAAAACTTACAGTCATGTTATGCTTGTTGAAAAGTTGGTCTATTGTGTCTAGTGATTCAAGTGAAGTAATAAACTTGTCGAGGTTGAAGACAAAGCCTGTTGTGATTATCTGCCTGCTCGCTTCACTAAAACTGAGAGGTATAATTTCAGTATATTAAGTGCATAGACAGCAGGCATGTAATATAGGATTCTAAGTGCTATCTTACTCCCAAAGACCTTTGACCATTTCGTCCACCTTCGGATTGGACAGTAGAGTTTTAAAGTCGATGGAAGTACTTCGATATCCCAGGGCAAATAGCAGACTTTTATCAATCTCTCCGTTTTCAGTTTTGCAAACTTTCGAGAGAGCTCTGATTATGTTCTTGGGAGGCGGGAAAATTGACTTATTCAGCCACTTGTCCGAGTACTTCATCAATAGTGTCTCCCAGTAGTCATCTCCAAGTCCGTTCAATATGTGGTCGGTTTTGTTATACCCTGTTTCTTTCATGATGTACGTACAACCTTCACCTGTCAACGAGAGTACGGTTGACTAATACCACACATTGGAGGTGGAAGGGGGTGGATTTCTAAGCAAAATAGACTCACCTAAAAGCACACTCAATCCGAAAAGACTCATGCCAACCACAACGGATACTGCTACACTCATCAGAAGAAATAGCACAGAAAGGCAGTAGACCACACAACAACCATGTTTTCCAGTCTCTGAATAGAGTCCATTTTCTGACTCGTTGTGAATTCGTGAGGCCTGTGTAATTGAATTCACTACCAAACCAATGAACACCAACAGTGTAAGCACTAAAAGTACTCCAATGGAGTACAAGGTGGTTTTGGCCGGTGGGACAATTTTTTTGAAGTCAGATTTAATCGAATTGACCACGTGAGTATTTGCGTACTGCAGAGTTGTATTTGCATAGGTACTGAAATTCTTCCATTTCCTATCTAAATCACTTATAATCTCGTTTTCTGTAGTCTGATCCAGCGTTGAGTTCACAACGTGATATGCAAATTTTTCGAGTTTATATATTAATCTATAAGTTCCTCTTAAGTAATCGACAGTTTTTCGTTGGACATCTGTCAAATTTTCCGCGTTCTCTTGGGATTTATATAAACTTTTAAAATATTTTTCTTGTCTTTGACGTAGATTCTTTAGCATGACCTACAATAAAAATGAGTTTTTGGTAAAATTTATTTTAATATGACATTTTTTGACTTTAAGTTTACAATGATTTATAAATTTTGACGAATAAGACGGAAATCCGAAAAATTCCGAATTCCTTCCCAAACTTTTATTTCTTTACCCTGTCACATTTCACCACAATCACTCCTCCTATTCCAAGAACAAACAACTGAAAGGTTCTTGGTTGCTTGTTATGGACAAATATTCACCCACATTAAATAAATTGGGCTTACCTTAGTGTTCGGACAGTTCCTATTGTTACAGCGTTCTAAGTTTGTTGCAACGGTATCGATAGAACTCAGGACTGTAGAGTATGACGTCATCAGGTTGTCATAAATATGTGTCATCTTACGCCATTCCGATGCATCAATGCCATTCCTGGATGAATTAATTGTTGTTTGAATCAGATGACGAATTAAAGGTAATTTGAAGGTCTTAATTGTTTCTTGAACAGCTAAGTCTTTGGATTTTTGCTGAAATGTAAATAAATAAAGAGATTTTTCTTTTGCTATTCATAGAAGTTTCGAGAATAATGTCGACATGACTGTAACTTCACATCGCCTTATCGCGATTACTAGAACTACTTTGGCAGGACCTAGAGCAAAATTGTCAAGAAAATGGGAAACGAGAAGTGCCATTTATCTTGTAACAAGAGCAAGAAATTTCATGACATTGGAACCAGTTCCCTAATATTTTCAGCGAATCATTAGAGTGAATATGAACACTCTAAAAAAACTCTAACCAATCAAAATTGTTAATTTTACTCGAAAATGGTTGGATACGAAAATAAGAAAGAGCGAACAGCAAGCACCACGTTTCCCGTGTGTCGTCGAGTTGAGAAATAAAACCCTAAATATTACCTTGCTCATCAACTCTGCGTGCTGACGTCTTTCAACCAGAGACGTCTTTAATTGATGACGCCGAAACTGATCTCATGAGACATTTCCTTTCTAATAATAACCCCATCAGACGTACAAATTTCATTCCTTTGTCGAAGTGCACATCACGATTACACTCGAGACGTTACTTTACCCAAATTTACCTAAGTGGAGCCTATCATCTGTGCCAACGCCAATGAGTAAAATTCCTTCGCATCCATCTAGTGATCATGTCCCTGAAATATATCCGCAACAAGGAAGGAGGAACGAAACCCACATATAAACAGATGCACACCTTTTACTATTCTGATCATTAGGCAAAGGACAATGGAGGCAAAAGAAATAACACATTATTGATTTTGACAAGCCCTAAAATACTAAGTATTTGAAACAAATGACTTGAGTCTGGGCTTGAGTCACGATGACTCACTTGAGGGAGACTAGAATGTCCGCAACCGTTGTGTTAACCAGAACTAACCAGGGTAATTGGCTAACCCCATCTTCCATCAGGCATTAACGAGCATTGATCCCGAGACATTTAAGGCTAGACTTCTGCAAGTTGATCACAGCACCTCATGAACACCTCATCATTGTTAATGCTCTCTTTGTGATTCGACGTTTCTACTTCAGCTATCGAAACGAACTCTTCAACTGTACACTTGGGCATCAAGAAGGTGACTCTTAAGAGAACTGATTGACCAACTAATTTAGTCCACGTGCGTGCCGGACATGATTTGAATGTTTCTGTATACATGGTGCACATTGTGGTTTCAAACAAACGCCTCTGAATATCCCTATTGCACCATGTACAGAAAATCGTAAGCAATGAAGATGATAATTGTTGAGTTTAGTGCTGCAGTGTTCAATGCTTCATGAAGGATCAAAATCTGAACGAGCACCACTTCGAGAACATTTCTTTACAACAACTAACATTTTGGTGATGTATCAGAATGTGAATTCATGTAAACACTCTCGTGTGCATTTAATTTTGGGTATAAATCAACCAATCAATTAATAAGTTCACTCAGCCACACATGATAGGAGTCAAGAGATTGGCAATGAACTGACTTACTCCTATTGATTTTAATAATTTCGATATGTTGTTGTGAATGAAATGGCCTCCGGATTTAACGCTCTCTTGTAAAAAGGAGTCAACATGTCTGNGAGTCAACATGTCTGTGTGTACTTTTGAGCACATCAAATAGGGCGATAGACACGGAATCTGATCCATTTGTCTGATTTCGTGGGCTAGTACCCAGAGCCTCAATCAGCAGATTCATACTTGAGAAGTAAAAGAACAGGAGACATAGTAGGCCAGGAATGATGCAAATTGATGCTCCAATTAGAATTTTTCTCGAGGACTGATTTCTTTGTCTTGCCAATTCCACAGAGTCCACCTCCTCTTCCCCCTATTAAATCCACATGTCATTAATTCTTACTTTACTAATTAAGGTTCAACTTTAACAAAAGTCAACCGATAACTTGCTTCCTTCTCACTAACCTGGTGACTACGACAGCAAGGCCTCATCAGCGCCAAGAAAAGTGAAATGCAAAGGAGCGAAAAAGAGCCGATCGTCAACCACAGAGTAATAGCCTCGAGATTGGGATTGTCGTGGGAATGCTTCACACCCTTTTGCCCACCCCCCAGTTCCTCTGGAATAGCATCAAGTAGTGAGAGAGATTGAGGTTTGAATAGAATCAAATTTTTGTAAAATTCAAAGTCCGATGTTGGGGCAAGTTGAAAGTGAGTTGGATTTTGGCTCTTGATTTGAAATATGACATTCAAGAGACCCCCATTCTCTGAACGAACCATCCACTTCACCGACACTGATACAATTCCTAGCAATAGGAGCCCCACAGTGTACATTCTAAAAAAATAAGAAAATTGGTGGCATTAGCGATGGAAATACATCAGGTTAAACTTCATCTAACTCATCGTAGTACAGTGAAACAGTGGGCTTGAGTGACTCTAATACTGTTTACAATGTAACACGCCTACATATATCACATCTGGGTGACCCCAGGTATTGTTTCTGTCATGAGACCTTAAACTATTGCAGCAATTTCTTCAACTTAAGCCACATTCTCTACTTTCTTGTGCCATTCTATGTGCAGATTATATGAAGAATAAATCATTAAGATAATGGAACAAGGATTTTCTGAAGAAGTGGAGATATTTCAGGCAACCACGAAGAGAAGATTTAGCTCCTTTAAGTTGCTTTCACGAAATTGGTCCTCCAAATGAAATAGCAGACATCTCTCAGATGTATCTTGATGTCATGAATTTCTACAATGAACTTGTCATTGTCAAATCTGTTGGCTCAAAGATGAAAATGTAGCTCAGTAGCATAAGGAGAGGTTGTAGTGTTGCCCACTAATAGTTAAGTTCCTTTTAAACTATAAACGAATATTGAACGTTTGGCGGAATGTCGTCGTCAACCTTGAACGTTTAGCTGTAATTCAAAAACCAAACGAATTGGCTGTTTTTAATACTTGCATAATTGAAAGAAGACAAAAATTTAGTACTCAACGCCCACGTACCAATTCGTTTTCAACCATTCAATGTTGTGTTGTTAGAATTCTTCCAAATGACTTCTGCGTAATAGTAAGAATAATTGTCTTGGATATGTGGGACGGCACAACTGAATGTCCTGGTGAGAAACTTAGATTATGTCGTCTCCTGCATTAAACACACTAAACCAATGGGGTGAGGCATATTATAAACTTGATATTGGTGACTATACAGTGTCATATTAAT